TAGTGCAATAAGTTAAAATGAAACAAATAGATCTCATTCCAACTCATTGCACCAGTGTGCACTAGTTCAGGAGTGCAGCAATGAAAAACAGACCCTAACTCGTCTGTCGAGAAAACGTTAACTTAAGTTACATAATAATTTTGCCAATCTGCATACGAAATTTACCACAAGTCTCTATGCAATCTGATCAATTACAAAGGTAATTTGCTTTTTTTTTACAAAATAATATGTACTTATATTTACAATAATTTAAAAGTAATATACATATCAAGTGAACAACTATAGTATACATATGAGTTCGTCCGCTTCAGTTAGCACTTCGTGAGAGTGCTGGCTGCCAGATACCACAACGTATTGTGCTCCAACCAAGCAATCCTTCAATTCCGTGCCCTCCTCGATGACGCAGCCATTGCACAGTATGCAGTTGTGAATAACACATCTGTGAAAGGGAAAAAATTAATGCAGCGAATCGCAAGTGCGACCCACGTGTGTTTAACAAAGAATAGTTTCCAACAACACTCCGGACTCACCTTTGTTTAATAGTCACATGTCCCATTATTACACTCTGAGATACTCTCGTCTTCGATTCCACGACGCAGTTAGGCCCGACGTGATTCTGCTTCAACGACGTTTTCTCCTCGATTAACGAGTTATCGCCTATGCGACATTCTTGCATCTGTGTACTGCGCACGGTCGCGGTGTTCGAGATACTCGGCAGCGGCAACTGATTAGTGCTCTCGTTCCACAATTCTGATATCTGCGCAGGACATTTCTCACATTACAATAAGGGACTTTTGCGTCGACCTTAACTGACCCAGGTTTCGGTCCTTTTCAAGCCCAAGATCGACAAAAAGCTCCCTTATTGTTATTTATTACTGGCAACCTTAAGAATCTTTAATTTATCAAATTAGTTGAAATCGACCCTACAATTTGTGTTTGGTAATCCGTGGGTTCTAGATTTGACATTGATCTCGCGTGTAATTGAATGGTATGCTTATTTCTTCAAGAAATTAGGGAAAAACAACAAAGAAATAAGGAATAAGATATGGAGCGGTGATTTAGCAGCACGCATATTTAAAAGACATCTTTAAGTTGCCTTTAACCGGCAGAGCCGGTTACGATGATGATAAAAATATGTAAAATAAATATCACAGTACTCAACCTTAGCGTTTGCAAGATGATACATTTGCACGGTGTTCGCTCTAAGACCAAACTTTTCATTCAATACATAAGCGTAACATCGTATTACATCCTCGTTATACGCATCTTCCAGATCGGTGCTGTGATCATTGAAGGCCGACAGCTTTCTTATCAACACGTCTAATGGTGTCTCCGTTGCGAAATGAAAGATATCTTCCTTCAGCTCCATCTGTACCAAGGAAGTCTTATCGTCGATAGATTGCTTAGATTTGGACAATTGTTTGTCGACTATGTACGGCAAAAGTTCACCCTTCAGAGTGGCGAAACTCCTGAAAAGTGATTTCGCATTCGATTAGACTTACGTCCAGTCAACATTTCTCCCTGGTAAGATCACTCACTTGTTAGACATCAAGTAGTCCACCACCCACTTGTTAATAATATACAAGTGCGCGTCCATCAGTTTGGAGCGAATGGTGAAGTTGGCGTGCTTCCCGAGAAGCCTCGGCGAAGTGTCCACCATCTCTTCGAAGTCGGACGACGAGGCCAAGAAGATCAAGCGTCCCGTATTTTTGTCGATGCCGACCAAGTCCATTTCTGGCCTCTGCTTGTTTTTCACGCCTGGCGTCACAAAGTCGCCCGGTACTTTTGGCGCGGGCAACATCAGAGCGGTTATACTCGCGTTGTGCTTCCTGTATAAATTCAGGATCTCCGATATGTCCACGCTTGTGATCAAGTCGCAGGATATCACCAAGATATCCGTGTATATCTTCTCGTAAATGAATCTGATGGAATCGGCCGTGCCGAGGTCCTCGGCTGCCGGAATCCCCACGAATTCAATCTTGATTTTCAGGCCCAGTTTGTCCAGCGACGCCGACACGTCGGGTCTCGCTGTCTCGGTCACTACGACGATCGCTTCCTTGAAGCCCGAACGCTCGAGGATGCGCAGGGGATACCAGATCATGGGAACGTTTGCGATCGGCAGTAGACACTTGGGCTTGCCCGCCGTGAGCTCCATCATACGAGAGCCATTTCCCCCGGCGAGCACGATGGCTTGGAATTCGTTGCGATAACTCATCTTCTTGTGTTCCCTGCAATTATTAAAAGGTCAGGCGCGTCAAGGAAACTTTGAACTCGTTTCTTATCGCTGTTTTGGTGGAGCCTAGTGCAGTAAGCTAGAATAACAAAAATACACTCGTCTTACTCTAATTTGTTGTGCCAGTTCACTAATGCAGCGATAGAAAGCAAGACTTTCGAAGACGAGCTGTGTAACGTGACGCAATTTCCACGAGAGCGCAGATCATACCCAACAGTCCTAGTGCCACTGGTGCCACAGAAGGTGCAAGTCCATGTGTGTCTCTAACCTAAAATCGGTGGTAACGACGAGACTTCAGTAGTAAAGAGAATCGGCCAATCCGCGGCCGAGAACGGGACCGCCGCTTCGAAACTCGCGGCTGCGATTGGTCGGTTGCCGCCGCTCGCGTGCGCCGCCGGCCTAACCTGCAAAAGGGCGGAAACGGCGGAGAATGCATCGCGAGATGCATGTGGCGATGATCGCGGAGGAAGGGGTGGCGAGCGTTAAAGGTGACGTATCGCTTCCTCGCTCGTGGAAGAGCGAGCTGTAAGGAACAACGAGCGTGTACGAAGGGAAATGTATAAATATATTGTAGGGCCGGACATGCGGAGAACGCGAACGAGCGACTGAGGTGATCTGACCGGTAGGATAATCGGCGGGACGATGAACGCTATCGCGGAGGGCACGTGCGGGTCCGCGGAGGACGTGATCGCGGTAGGCAGCCACGTGATAGTGAAGAAACAGGACTTCAGCAAGATATACAGGGTATCGGAGAACGGTGTTCTGACGCTGGGGAAAGACCAGAGGGTGGAGATGCGCGAGATCGTCGGCAAGCGGTTCTGGAGCATCTTCGAGATGGTGCCGTTACCCGACAGCAAGGGCACCTTCACCCTCAGGCTGGCGGACCAGGTGGAGTCGTGGGACGGTCTCAAGGGCGAGACGAGCGGCTACGACAATCGCTCCATCACGGACGACGGTACGTCCCAGCGGCTGTCCAAGGAGGAGATCCTGCAGCTGCAGGAGGCTGGCAAGACCGGCAAGGAGATCATTGGCAGCCTCATTGAGAACAGTAGGTCCTTCGTCGCCAAGACGGAGTACTCGCAGGAGAAGTACATCAAGAAGAAGGAGCGCAAGTACCTCAAGTTCCTCACGATACACAAGACGTCTATATTGTCGCTGCACGAGGTCTACTTCAAGCGGAAGCACGAGAAAATCGGCGGGCTGCGAATGGACGCTCTGGCGCAGATGCTGTCCTACAGCGACGTGCAATCAGACGGCCTGCACCTGCTGTACAGCAGTGGATTTCAGGGGCTGCCCGCGGCGGCCATGCTCAATAGAATAGGCGCGAACACCAGCGGTTACCTAATCAACCTGCATCCCGGTAACATGCCCCAAACCACCTTCGTCGAAGCCATGAATTTTCCACAGGAATTGAGGGACAGGCACGTTGCGGTAAACGTTTATAGTTTCTTAAGGTTACATTATCAGGGTGAATCTAGCGTGATGAACAGTCTTTCCACGTCTAGAAAGACCGTCAGCGATGGCGTTGAGCAGACGCGCGAGAAAACAACGGAAGAATTGGACGGAGGAGCTAAGAGTAACGAAGTGACGGACGCGCAAGTTTTAGTGGCGAAAGCTGAGACGAAGGAAAATGGTACGCTCCTCGGGAGCGACGCCGGGGAAGGTACCAATGTTTTAAAACGTAAACGCGAGTCCGAGGAGCCCGACGGAGAGGAGGCGCCCGCGAAGAAGCCGAGGTGGCTGCTGGAGACGAAGCGCGCGGTGGACTTGTTAAGTAGCTCGAAGGCTCGCGGTTTAACTGTCGTCGCGAAGGAGCATCCCTTGCAAATCGTGAACGCGCTGCTGCCCTTCCTCGGGGTCTCGCGGCCCTTCGTCATCTTCCACGCGCATCGGGAGCCCCTGCAGGAGACTTACGTGGAACTGAAAAAGCGGGGCAACGCAATGAACGTGAAACTGTTCACAAACTTTCTACGCTCGTATCAGATATTGCCGAACAGGACGCACCCCGACATTTTAACGAGCGATACCAGCGGCTACATTTTAACGGGTTATCTAGTTAAGTAATATACAAAGTGTTTTAATAAATTTTGATAGGGAAAAAATTGGTTGACGCAGACGCGCGCACTCGATAGCGCTCGAGCGCCAAAAGCTGACGCAACGTTAGCCGACGAACTTATAAACGGATTCCAATTTTTATTCAAATATAACTATTACATTGTGTATGTATTTGCGTTTGTTACTTGGACCTCTAGTTACAATTCTTCGTAAAAATCGCTCTTTTTACACGTGCATAATTTTGGAATGTACGATCGTAATACAAGGACCGGCAAGATTTCGCGAGCGTTTATATTGTTCTTATTGCGACAATCTCTTGCAATAAACTGCGCACGTTTTTCTTTTTTTTTTTACGAACTTAAAATTTTGCAGCTTTTATTTCAGCTCGAGAGTCAGGTTTGCGACTCGAAGCCTTGGCGAGCGAGACTTTTTATTTCGTTCCGTCCCGCGAGCAGCGAATCTTTTTCATCTTTCAGATCTTATCGATCGGGTAACGACGACACGTTGACACCTGGACGCACGTAGTTCCGCTGGCCGCTGGCTTCCAATAGAGGACGCTGTGGTCACCGCTAGGCGGGGAAAGGGTCGGGAAAGGTTCGCGAGAATTTCGCACGCTCGTACTTCGTAGTGTTCGGATTCCCGGATTGCGGAAGATGTAAAAGTCGCGAAGGGTTTACGAGCGATACAGCGCGCGGGGCTCGCCGCGGCGGCCTTCCGGATCCCTTTTAGGTTAGGATCGTCAGGTCCGTTCCGGAACGCGTCGGTGCCACACACACGCGCGCGCGGTGCAGCGACAACGTGCCGCAGTGGGGCCGAAGCGCGGCGATTCTCCGATCTCTATCTCTCTTCTCTCCCCCCCTCCTGCTCTTTCGCGAGGAGAAACCCGACCTTGGCGGATAGGAGAGCCTTGTGTGCTTATCGGCGCCTCCCGTCTCCGCGTTACGCGACGTTTCGCATCACTGTGCAATCGCGACGATGGCCGCCTGGGACGGCTCGTACCCGGAGGACCTCAATTACCTGGTGTACGCCGACCGGAACGCAGGCGGCGCCGCCACGGGCGATTGGCAGTACTTGGCCAGGAACAGCGCGTACCTGAGCGACCTGGCGCCCGCGGGTGGCTACTATCCGGCGACCGGGGGCGGTCGGCACGTCTACGAGCGCAGCAGGCCGTCGCCGGCCTTACAGATCGACGCCCAACACCCGTCGAGCATGGTGCCTTTGGAGAACAGCGCCTACCGGGACCGCGTACTGCCAGACGCCACGTCCGCGGACGTAGCCGCGACGTCGCGCAACCCGCCGCCCTTCCCCCGCGGTGGCTACAAACCGTCGAGGTCCAGGGGCAACCGGACGGCCGGCAAGCACGCGGCCGCCGACGTCGTCCAGTCCGCCGTGGTGGAGAACTCCAATCTGCATCCCACGGCCAGTGAATTTGTGCCAAACAGCCAGGCCGGGTTCAGAAGGGACGCCAGATTCCGGCGGTACGATAACGGCAACGGCAACGCGGCCGGGAGCGGCTTCAACGTCGGCGCGCAGGAATTCAGGCCGAAGCCGGCCGACAAGCCGTCCTCGTCGGACAACAGGTACAAGGGCGAGAGGCAGCGCTACGACGGCAGGAGGGACGCGGGCTACAGGCAGAAGAGACTGCAGGACCCCCAGGTCTCGCAACCGCCGAGATCTGGCTATAGGGACACCCAGAGGACGTATAACGCGAGGGGCTACAGCAAGTTTCAGAACGGCAGATATTACAATAGGAAACATCAGTCGGACGTGGAGCAGAATGCCGGGGAAGCCTACGCATCTACGACCGAAGCTGATTCAGCCACGTCTGACGGTCAAGAGAGTAGAGCTGTCGCCGGGGAGATTCAACAGGACACCTTGTTTTTGGGGATAAAAACCGGTAGAGGCAGAGAGGAGACGTCGACGTACGAGGATAACGATTCGGAGATGTCCTCGAAAAGTCTCGAGGCACAACGAAACGATAGACCTAAGCGATTCGCCAACGCGTCCAATTATCACAGATACAATTCGGAAGATGTGCAATCCGAATCCAGCGCCAGGTGGCCAAAGTACGCGCAAAGGAGGAACAATGAACCGACAAATCACAGGGACAGGAAGGTGGAAAATTGGCGAAAGAGGATGGAGAGTAACGAAGCACCGCAGGGGAAAAATCCAAGGAAGAAATATGATAACGGTAACAAGTGTATCAGATTTTTATTGTATAAAGCATTTCGTTATACATGTAAAAGAAAAATCTCTAACAATCGTTCCTTTGTGCGTTCTTAGTAGATGACGATGCCAGTCAAAGGGAAAGACTGACCGAACAGCTGAATAAGGGAACGTTGGAATGTCTGGTCTGTTACGAGCACATCAAACAGAGCGACTACGTTTGGTCCTGCAACAATTGCTATCACGTGTTGCATCTGAGGTGCATCAAAAAATGGGCAAAGTCGTCTCAGGGCGGTAAGTACGCAGACGAGCTCGCCGTTCGCGCCGCAGATCGTCCAGCGCAATTTGACCAGCACCCATTTCATTCTAGAGAACAACAGCTGGAAGTGCCCGGCTTGTCGGGACGTCAGTTTCTTCGTGCCCGAGGATTACTTGTGCTTCTGCGGTAAGATGAGGATGCCCGAGTGGAATCGCAGGGACGTGGCGCACTCGTGCGGCGAGACCTGCGGCCGGCTACTGTCCAAGAAGAATTGCACGCACAAATGCACCCTGCTCTGCCATCCCGGCTCCTGCCCGCAGTGCGTGGCGATGGTGACCAAGTACTGCGGATGCGGGAGAACGTCGAAGATGCATTTGTGTAGCGCCCATCAATTGCTAATGTGCGATTCGATATGCGGCAAGGATTTGCCGTGTGGCAAGCACACCTGCCAGAGGAAGTGCCATCAGGGGGAGTGCGGGCCTTGCGACAAGATTGTGCAGCAAAGTAATATTTCAATTTCTTCGTCGATATCCAACATGCAGCTTTTAAATCGAGATATCCATGTTAGGATTGCCACAATTGCAGCGACCGTTTCTTAATGCTCTCGTTGTTTTGTTCTTAGCATGTTTTTGTAGTAAGAAAACTCAGGAGGTACCCTGCCGAGCCAATACCGCGGATACATATTCCTGTGATAATATTTGTAACAAACCGTTGGATTGCGGGAAACATTACTGTCGGAAAGTCTGTCATCCGGAGTGCTGCGAGCTCTGTTCCTTGACGCCTGAAAGAGTTACGATGTGCTGTTGCGGACAAACACCGTTGACGGAGAAGAGGGAGAGCTGCACGGATCCTGTGCCGACCTGCGAGAAAATCTGCTCGAAGCGCTTGAAATGCGGCCAGCCTAGTAAGCGTTTCAGAGCTATCGCGCTACGCGTCTTGTCGCCGTGCGGACGCGCTAAATCAGATTTTCGTTCGCTCACGCAGGTAATCCGCACACCTGCAAGGCACCGTGTCACATGGGAGAATGTCCGGAATGTGACTTGAATACCGACGTCAAGTGCCGATGCGGTAACATGGACCGCGAGATCGCTTGCAGGGATTTGACGACCAAGGCCGACGATGCGCGCTGCGAGAAACGCTGCAAGAAGAAGAGATCCTGCGGCAAGCACAACTGCAATCAGCTGTGCTGCATCGACATCGAACACATCTGTCCACTGCCGTGTTCGAAGAACTTGAGCTGCGGTCGGCACAAGTGCCAGGAGCGATGTCATATGGGTAAATGCGCTTGTCTATTATCGCATCTACGTATGATGGAAATTGTAGTAAAAAACCGAGATCTTTTTCTCCCCGACAGGAAGATGTTCGCCTTGCTGGGAGAGCAGCTTCGAGGAACTGTACTGCGAGTGCGGCGCCGAGGTGATTTATCCGCCAGTTCCGTGCGGCACAAGGAGACCCACTTGCAACCGACCATGCTCGCGCGAACATATCTGCGACCACGAGGTGCTGCACAATTGTCACAGCGAGCCTACGTGTCCACCTTGCAGTGTCCTGACTCAGAGATGGTGTCACGGCAAACACGAACTCAGGAAGGCAGTGCCGTGCCACGTGAAAGAAATCTCGTGCGGTCTACCGTGCAACAAACCGTTGACGTGTGGACGGCATAAATGCATCACCATGTGCCACGCCGGGCCCTGCGAGAGACCGGGACAGCAATGCATGCAGCCTTGCACTACGACGAGAGAGCTGTGCGGACATATCTGCGCCGCTCCGTGCCACGAAGGCAAGTGCCCAGATGCGCCTTGCAAAGAGATGGTCAAGGTAAGTGCAATCCTTGTCTTTGCGTTAAGCGACTATCCACGCGAAAGAAGATGCGTCACGATGAAATTTCAGCAAGTTTTGCATCATACACTACTAGGATTATATCTTATATTGCAGGTCACATGCCAGTGTGGACATAGGACCATGAGTCGTGTCTGTGCGGATAATGCGCGGGAATATCAGAGGATAGCCAGCAACATATTGGCTAGTAAGATGGCCGATATGCAGCTCGGTCATTCCGTCGATTTGGAAGAAGTGTTCGGGCAAGGCGCGAAAAAGCAGAATCAGTTGAAGACTTTGGAATGCAACGACGAGTGCAAGATAATAGAAAGAAACCGAAGGCTCGCATTGGGACTGCAGATCGTCAATCCAGACTTGAGTGGCAAACTGATGCCCAGATACAGCGATTACATGAAACAGTGGGCCAAGAAGGATTCGCACTTCTGCCAGATGATCCACGACAAGTTGACGGAATTGGTGCAGCTGGCAAAGACATCCAAACAAAAGTCCCGGAGTTACTCGTTTGACATTATGAACAGGGAAAAGCGTCACTTCGTGCACGAGTCGTGTCAGCATTTTGGCTGCGAGAGTCAAGCGTACGATGAGGAGCCAAAGAGAAATGTCGTTGCCACTGCCGTAAAAGATAAGGTAAAAGCTTATTTTGTTAAAACAAGTAAATATCATCTCTGTAACAAACGTATTATGTTGCAGTGTTGGCTACCAAGCTACAGTTTACTAGAAATGATACAAAGGGAGAAAGGACAAAGAAAGGTTCCAGGCCCGGTACTTAACGCTTCGAAGGGAAATAATTCTACAAAGTAAGATATCTATTTATCTTATTATTTATCTTATTAATGGTCGGGAATCAAATTAATCAATGAATGTATAATATGATAATTACATGATTACAGGACTGTTCTTTCATTACCTGTAAAACAGAATCAGCAATCGCTGCCATCATCGTCAACTCCTAAAACTGCTGACAAAGAAATAGATTATTTTGACTATCGAGGATAAATCAGCAAGTCGTCAGTAATATACAGGGTGTCTGATGCAAGAGGACCTCTACGAAAAATGGTACATGACTTATCTTCTTAATCTAACTCGGTCTAATAATCTACCACAATTTTTTCGAAGGGGTCTTTTTGTGTCAGACACCCTGTATAAAGGACAACGCGAATTATACAATGTATATAATCATAAATGGGGCTTAAAAATGGGTACAATTATAATTATACAATTAATACTGAGACAGTCATAAAATTTTTAAGTGCTCCGACAGTTCGAATTTCAGATCAAACTTTAATTAATCTTTCGAGCTTGAAGGTATTTGAGTTGAATTGAATTGTTGGATCTATTAGACCTGAGTACCTATCATGGAAATGTTCGGAATGAATTCCGATCGGGATTATTCCGTTTCCCTGAGAAAACACAATAAAAATCTAGGAAATAATTGAACAATTCCGAACATTTCCATGACAGGTACTCTGATTTCTGAGAGGGAAAACTGTTTATTTTCTGTTTTGCACCATATAATAATGATTTCATTCAAATTTTCTTCTATATTGGAACTATTCGGATATAGAAATGTTCGATTAAAACGAATAGATCGAAGATTCGTTTCTTTTTGAACTATTCGAATAGTTTGATCGCACAATTTATTATTGCAATCTTTTCCTTAATTTCTTTCCAATTGTGTAAATTTTCAATTGTGTAATTAAGGCATACTTAACTAAATTTCAAGCAAAACTCTAATAGTAACAATATAACAATAGTCTTTATTGCGTTTGCAAAAGATTTTGATAGATTAATCATATATTAACAAGAAGTGTCATCATTCATATGTCATGATAATGAACATTTTATTGTAATTTAGAATTTGTTTGCAATATGTTTTGTTAAAATAGATACACGAAGATGGCATGCAAACATGTAATAATAAAATCGAATTATCAAGATAAACCTCTTGGTGCTAAAAAGATACCGTTTTCCCATATTATCCCAAAACTGTATGTCATAAGATCGATCTCCAATATCTCTTAATGTTTTCATTATCCAAAATTAATTTCGTGACATTAAGTATGATTAGATATAGAAGATTTTTGTACAGGGAAAGCATGTCGTAATTCAATTTTTCTTCACCTTTATTTCTACACAATTCTTTTTTTCAACAAACCTTTTACACAGTTCATTATATTGATATCTCTTAAACATAACAATATGATAATTCTGGTACTAATATGATAAAGTAAGATAAATAATAACGAAGTTTATACTACTTTTAACTACATTACTACAAGACGAATTCTTATCACGGATAGAATACAGATATAGAAAGTATCTAACTCAACTGATAGGATAAAGAAACTCTTATTCTAATTGTATTTTTTTGCTTGGTCAGAGCTATATTGCTAAGAATAAAGTCAGTGCTGCATAGGTGCTATATAGATTATATCTTTTGGGCTTTCGAGATGTTTTGAAAATCTTCAGGTTTCCAAGATTTTCAGGTATTCTTTTATGATTCATTAATAACAGTTATGTCAATCAATATTGATTGGATATATTATATAATATGTATCATAATTCACAACTTTATTATACATATATTTAACGACCAAATAGTCATGTTAAGAAATTATTTTTAATTCAGATATAGAACAACAGAGAGCTTCTGTTGAGCAATAGAGAGCTTCTATTGAAAACTTTAATAATATACCTTACATCTGTTTTATATACATATAATTATTGAATCCGCAATATCTACGATCTTGCATCAGTAAAAATATCAATTATATATGTATATATTATAATTTCGGAGACCTTATCAATTTGATTAAAACAATAGTTGTTTGTTTGTTATTGTACATCCAATTGTATATAAATATTTATCTATATCTATATATGTGTATATATAGTTTTGTAGAAGAGTTTGTTAGGGTAATAAGACTTTGTATCTCTTGTAAACATTTAAAATAGTTAACACGAGTATTTGGCACATGAAACATCAATGTTATATTTTAAATCACTACTTTTCATACTATAAATTTCAAACAGTTATTTAGATATTCTCTGAGACCTTTTATGCTCCTGTAAGTATTACTACTAGATTTCTCACTTGTTCTATATTTGGTTTTATAGTGAGGTAAACAGAATGATACATAAATAATACATTAGCATTATTGGACATATATGCTTGTAATAAAGAGAAGTAAAAAAGATGCAAAACACTCTATCTAATACTGCACGCAACAAATAAATTATTGCGATGTGTACAGTATATCATACACCCGATATAGTTTTAGCTGTAATTTTGTAAAAATGAAGAAAATATATATCAGTTATAGATAAAAATATATAGACAGACGTAACACAATAAAATATTGGCTATCTTAATTGTATAAGATATTGAAAGTACAATAAATTGTCTACAATTGCAATAAAGCTATGATATAGCTCGGTTTTTATCGTAAACTCACTTTTACAGTCTTTTATCTCACGGAATATAGTGTTATTTAAGCTTACATAAGCGTAAAATGGCCTCCTAGTCTAAACACATAAATATGATATCACATGTAGGATCACAACACTGTTACAAATTCAACTTGCAGATAAGTCATTTATATATTAATCATTGTTGTAATTTTGTTGAACATTTAGTAGTAGGGCACTTTGAGAGTTGGGTTCGTACTTTTACTTCTAAGCATTTTAGTGCGGTTGACACACAGTAAAAACGCGTTACTTCATATATTCTCGATAAAAGTCACCTACTAGTTTAACGTTTTTGTTTATATACAGTCTGTTTCCTTCCTCCTCTCTCTCTCTCTCTCTCTCTCTCTGTTATTTCGAAAATATCCTTTCAAATTTTACATGTAAGTTAAAAAAATGATATATATATATATTCTGTATATATTTGTTTAACAGCAAAAAAATATATATATGTATCTTTCTGAGAGAACACAGTAAAAGTCATTAAATTAATTCATCGGGAAACTAATCTAATTTAAAAAATAGATATCTGTTTTTTTTGTGAATATGTGCTTCGAATGAACACTTCGCATAAAAAGTGGTTTTTAGAAATGCTACTTGACTATTGCATTTGTTAGTAGATGCTGTTTAAACACTTATTTCATGTTTAGAATGTTATGCTCATCTATTGCTATGTATCTTTATGTATAGCAAGTTTTTTGAGACTTTGCTTTTCTTATTTTATCATGTGCCTGTGCAACCTCCTATCTGATTATATTCTCCTGATATTTTGTCAACTCTTGAGATCTTAAATTTTCGCGGTTCACCAAGCTAGAAATTGTCGGAATATCGATTCTCAGAACGTGAGTTAGTGCCACCTCTTTGCTGATTATGTTCCTTTGATACTTTCCTGATTTTTGTGGGAGTGAAAACTTGCCAATAATTATAATAAAACGATACAATCAATTCGCTACAGTCGATAAAATAGATTGCGATTATTGATTGTCGATAATGTAGTAACTTTTATTATCTGCATCGGCCGCTGTCAAAATTTTTCATTCCCGAAAATCGTGAAAGCACCAGTAGGAGAATACATCAGCAAGAAGGTGGCACTAACTGAAAATCAAGAATTTCTAGAAACTCGAGAAATTAAAATCTCGAAAATTGACAAAGTACCAGGTGAATATAATTTGCAAAAAGGTCGCACTAACTAAACTTTCAAGAAACTTTTGACATTGTAACTTTAAGATTTTGAATCTTAGAAATCACAAAAATCGACAAAGTAGCATGAGAAATATAATTAGAGAAGAAATTGCATAAAATTGTCCAAGAATTGTGCAATTGTAAAACTTATAAAAATTTTCAAGTCTACTATTTTAAAAATTTGGTTATCGCGATGCCCTCGCATGCATCCTCCGATAGAAATTGTTACCAATTCGTAAAACAATGTGTCAAATAAACATTTAGAATACTGGGAGTGATGTGTATACAATATGTATACAATACATGTACAGATATGTAAAATCTTTTTCTGAAAATTATCACGGAGTCATCACAAAATACATTAATCTTGAAAGAGTAATCAAGATTTCCATAAAAGAAATTAAGAATAACTTTCCTATTTGGCATCTTAGATTTTGGATTACGATTACCCTTATCGCTAGATAAACTATTGCTTTATATGTAAGGATTATTACCTCGGTTTACGCGCGGGGAATAATTAGGATAATTACTCAAATACTGATGTCGCGGACTTGCTGACGGCTGTTTTGTTATATTCGCCATGGCGCAGCCCATAACAAATTCAAATATCCTGGGTATTGTTTGATACAGCAGCCAGGGCCATGGCGTGGGAAACTGCGTCGGTGCTGGTTCTGTACCGTATGGTACGGTTTCAGCAAAGAGTCCTAAGAATGAGTCGATTAACACTTCTGTGTATACATATTGTTTTACAAGAATAGTTTATAGTATTTTGCAGCGTAAAATTATAGTGTCATTAATCAGTTGTAAATACCGTATGGTCCAAAAATACGAAAGGCATCCGTGACGCATAGGAGGATCCCTAAAATCGCAGTAGCGCGCGTAACGTTTAATACTTTTTGCATCTGAGATTTCCTGGCAACTGCGGTATCCGCTTCCGGTATGTGCAGCGGCGTATCGGATTTCGCTCGGTTCACGTACGCGATGTGATTCAGTATCGAGTGAAGAGTAAAGTCCGTGCCCTGAAAATAGCGTAGTCATATAATTCCTAAACGACAAAAGCTTTAGGCATCTAAAAGAGCCATGTACCATAATTCTCGCTTCACCAGGCGTATTTTCGGGAAGCAAGTTAGTCTCCGGCGTAATGTCCTCCGGGTCTTCAATAGCTTTATCATTCCATGACAAATTCTTTTTGCGTACTTTCGGCTCTTCGTCTTTACTCTTCGACTTTTCGTTCATCAGTTGCGCTTTCTCACTGCAATCAGGATGATCTGAATCTGATTCAGATTTCTCCTGCACCTCCGTCTTAATAGGTACTATACTCTGAAAGTGCGTAGGACTCCTGTCTAGAGTTCTAATACTGATATCGCTGCTTCGACGATTTATCATTAACGGCTTAATGTGAACAAATTCGGAATTGCGTCGATAGGAACTCTCGGAATTTCTACGCGAGTCAGATCTAGTTGGTGACATAAAACCACCAATATCGGAATTACGTCTTGAACCTGAAATATTGTTAAACGAGATGAAACGTGAAAAATATAAAATGTCTAAAAAGGAGTGGACTAAAGTTTCTTTTTTTAAAAAAAGATCTGCTCGTTTGTACGAATCACATTTTCTTTTTACCTGTGGGGCTAAGATCCAGAACTTTGGGCAATCTGGAATGTTCGTCAGGCAGCAACATTCTTTTCGGCGTTCTGTTACCAAAATCGCTATTCCTTCTGAGCTTGACGGCGAATTGCGAGCCACGATTCTTCTCGTGGGTAAAATCGGAACATCGTCTCAGCTCTCTAGTGCTGCCTGTCGGCGTAATATTCTCAGAGTTTCGTCGTGGGCTCTCGGGCGAGCGATTCCTCTCAAACTCCTCTCGCATCCTTGGCAAAGGTCTGGGGCTGCCCTCCGTCGTACGTTTGTATTCCGTCGAATTTTCATCGTTTACAAATCTAACGCTACATTCTGAATTCCTGCGTGATGATTTGGTGGACGTATCGCTGTCTCGTCGACTGGCCATGGAGCTTCTACGACTCGGGCTGGATACGGTTATAATCGGCAGATTAGCGGTCGATGGGGTAGGGGTGGGTGGTCTAACGTAGACTTCCGGTACCGAGGACCGTTGTTCCTGCAACGGCGATTGTACGGTGCACGTAGGTATCGTAGTATTCTGTACTTCCTTTGGCACTGGTCCCTCTACCTTGCACACCTTGGCGGTGATTGTAACGCGCGATTCTGAAATCAGATCTCGGTGAGAGATCAATTTACACGCCTTTCTGGACGGTTTGTGATAAAAAATGTCCACTGCGTACTACCTTCCTCCGCGGGTGCTTCTTCTGTACTTTTATTCACGTTTGCAGGCTCACTTTCTTCCGGGCCTTTCATCCTAGCCGGACCAAGTAAAGTAGGTACCAGCGCAGCAGCGACCGAAGTCGCCAGATTGCTGTACGGTGCCAACATCGCGAGTTGCATGATACCTGAATTACAAGTAAGTTCTTGTGATACAAAGCAAAACATGCGCTAACTCTTGAAGAGAGAGAGAGAGACAAGATAATCTTATACCGATGTACACAATAAAAATCATATAAAATTGTAAAAGAATGAACATTGATTTATCAACTGACCTTTTTGATGCGCATTGGAATTGTCCCGCGTCAACATGCTGCTTGGCATAGTCCGGAGCAGATGATCAACCTTGTAAGCCGCATGTAGGAACGCGAGGTAAAGAAGAATGCTCCAGACGAGAAATGCCGCTTGGACCATATATTTGGCCATGTAGCAATTGTGAGAGGATAGAACAATATCGCTGGCGATTACGAAGAAGAAGTGTGCTGTTATAATGAGACTGAGGCAGGATTCCTTCTGTATCTTCTCTGGACCAAATTTCAGCTGGAAGTGGAGCATACAAAAGGATATAGTAACGCGTTCGATCAGAACTTGTTAATTATTCAGTTTAAGGGCTAGACACCTTCGTCAGTTGCAGGAAAGCCAGTTGTATCAAACAAAAGGCGGACGTGATGCATGGATATCCAATGTCCCATATAATTGAGCCAATGACTTTGGGCAGAATCTCCTTAAGATTGTACGCATCTATGAACAGGGAAGCGGCTCTGGATGCCCCGAGTAAACATAGGAATATATTAATCGTAGACATAAACGGCCTGGTTGATATGAGAGATCTGAAAGAAGGACAATTAGGCGCGAAGACGCAAACTTTCGTCGATGCGTGTCGCCGATGCGCGTATGGCAATACAGATGTACCTTAAATTTAGAATGGAGAAGAACGTGTAAAACCCCAGTACGAAAAAGAGGCATGCAAAGCTGTAAGCGTGTAGTAGAAACGCCCATCTTATGTCTTGCTGTATCGCACTCCATGACGGTGCAGTGACCAGTGATTTGTCTAGGAACACAGAGTTTGATGCATTTGACACACAATTCTGTCCTACAACAGGTACTGGGGCTGTTGTGTTTATACCTAGCGGGAAGAACGTCCAATTAAAATCAGAACGATGCAGACATATGTATCCATGTACATATATACGTAACAGTAGAACACACATTGCAAGGAGTTTACATAATACAAAAATTATGACAACATAATTTGCGTCGTATATTACATTATTCTACACGATTTACAATTGATTGTTTAAGCTGACATAGCTCCCTAGGCTTTAGTTGAATAGGAGATGCTGTACTTGGTTTGGCGTAGTATCATTTCAGTATGTCGAAACTTTGATCGCGTTTTATATACAAAAATGGCACTTGCCGCCGTCCTACCCGTATTAAAAATTAAGATAAAGGGTAAAAAACTGACCACGAGTCAAATTAGCCAGCTTATCCATAATCCCTCGATATGTCCACAGCACATCACTGAATCTTGTAATTGGTAGTCAGTCTTATGGTAGACAGTTAATGTGGCGTTTAATGTAGCACGTTCTGCGAACTTGTGAAATGTGGTAGCAGCAACAGGCTTTACCTATAGAATGACTTGATTCACGCACCCCTTCTCACTGAATACAACCACTGTCTCCCTTCAGTTAGGATTATTGATCTTAGCTGAAGAGGATTGGAGGGGGTACACATGCCCACATAAAGCACCTGGCTTGTTGGTCAGTTGTTTATCTTTAGAGTTTAAATGGAGCAGTGTTAAATTTATCGGTCTATGTTATGTTATGATTCACAGGCTTGTTATTTTTGTATAAGGAAACCTCTGTCTTAGTTTCCATCGACATTCTCTAAGAAACGTAAATTCCGAACGCTTCATGAGGGGATATTGGAACGCAAGGTGGTTAAAAATAGTTCGATAACATATTAAATATTGAACTCCTGTGAATAGTTCAAGTTAAACGTGCTCTGGAAAATCGTAACTTTAGAAAAATCGATTTCTAATATCAATTTTTTGTTTGGGATGATTAGTTCTTCGTAAATAGGAACTATGTGAATTTTACATTGGAAAAGAATTATAAATATTATTTTTGCGTTAATATTTTATATTAATATATGGAATAAAATTGGAATCAATATACGAGATGTCAGTGTATTAAGTTAAATTATTAATTTCCAACACAGATAATAAATACTTATTGTCCCCAAAGTATTTCACGGTTTATTTCTGTTATCGATCCCAAGTGACGAAATCCTGTAAACTCAGAAATTAATTAACAGGGATTTTGAGAATTATCCAGGGTAACATAAAGTTTAAGGCAAAGTTTAAGACAGGAAAATGATTTCTTAGCTTAGAAATAAATAAATATGTGTCATCTTCTCTGCGTTATAAGAGTTGTTATCAATAATATAATAGTTACAAGTACTGATAAAGCATTAACATGAAAAAATATATTACTTATCCATACATTACTTTATCATCGTATTTAACATTTTTATATCACATATATTTATTATCCTTTTAAGAGAGAGAACAATGCATGTCTACTCAGGAACAACTTACGTAACACTAACTAGTTGGAATAAAAATATTAAAAAATGTCTACAGAGAGATAAAATGCATCAAATAATTTAATCCAAATAATGAGCCTGACAAAATGTAACATTATATATACAAGTGTATCATATTAACGTATGTTCTCACATATTACAGACGCTTGAGGAAGTAGTATCGTGCATATAGGAAAGCTTCTGCGTTTCCCTCGAGGGGTTGGCCACTGGCGGCTAGTGTACAAAAATTACCCTTAAATTACCTCAGATTACGCAAGATTACCTAACACTACCTCGAATTACTTCAGATACTCCAATACTATCTCATATTATCCCAAGTATATCGGATTACCCAAGATTTCGTTTGGATTGCCGCTGAATTACCTCAGTGACCAACCCCCTGGTACCACTCAATGTAACTGACAAGCTCTGACGGCGATCAGTTGCAGGAGGATGAATACAGGACTCAAAACTTCGGAGTACTCCAACGTGCTCTGTCCAGAGAGCTTTTTACACAGAAGATACTTAAAGACGAAGACCAACAGCAATGATATTTGACTCCACAACGCTCGTAAGACGCCCACCCTGATCATTCCTTCCATGTACATTCTTATGAATATAATAGCGCAAAAATATGTATTCAAGCCGTCGGCTATAAAGAGCGGCGAAAACACTTCCCACCATCCCGACGGTCCCAAGAAGTAATTTTCATCTAACTTTAGAGCTAGCAACACGGTGAAGAATGCCAAGGCGACTAAGTTTATCCATATTTCAAATATGGTTAAGCCTAACCAGTGTACCAGTTCGTTCAAAGAGAAGATCATAATAAAAAAAAGCTATACACTTTCGTACCAGCTGTATTGGAATAATGTTTTAGCTAATAATTGTACTCATTCTATCATGCACTCTCTCGTCACTCGAGTATATATCGCTTCGAGGTCTCAATATCAGTTTACTTTTCTTTAGATCTCAGCTTGGCCACCGGCACTCTCCTGACAACGCGTATATGTATAGCGGAGGTCTGTCTGTTGATTATCTCATCGTCCACGTCGTCGCTTAACGCCTCCAGATTATCTACAATAACAAGGCACTCTTAGAACTTTGTATCAGTTTGACGATGTACAGGGGGGAAAGACACACGTACCTACTAAAGCGACGGTAGAGGTTTTGATATCAAGATCTAAAGTGTCATGATGGATCTCCTTCAATTTCAGAGCCAAGCTGGCCGCTTTGCACACGGCAGCACCAAGTCCGTGGACGACCAGCTCAGACGCGCCTTTGTCGAGCAGTTTCTCGCATTTGTACAACTGTCCCTAAAAAATATTGGCAGACACTCAGGCAAAACGGGCGACGTGGGAGAATCAGGGCTGTTCCGAATCCACAGCGGCCAAGTTGCGACGACCGGAAAAGGTTATGGTTGCCGCACGCGACGTACCTTGAAGGGAGTCTTGTTGTTCACGTAGATATCCCCGTCGCTTCTGGCGAACTCGAAGGACTGTCGTTTACGCAGAGCGTGTTTCGCGTCCAACGACAACTTGCCGTTTTTGCGGCACGCGCCCTTCTGCTCGGAGGTGGTCTCATTTAGCCCGCAATCGCCGTCCACCTCGGCCATTCTCTGGCACTTGTAGTTGTAGCAGTTGTAGTAGTAGCGCCTCTCGCCGATGACGACGCGCGCCGATTGGCTGCGAGCGCCAGGACTGGCCGGGACCGCCAATGAAACGCGAACGACGCTGGAGCACGAGCGTAAACGTGCTCGGGCGGCTGGTTGACAACACGCGACATAACCTGCAGAAAAGGCCGGGGTGATCGATTGACGGGCGGTTTGCGGTGCTTCCGACGGTCCCAGTGAAACTCGTAACATTGAGTCGCCCCCAAGGAGCACGGCGGGTCAGAGCGCGATGAAGGAGCCCGAGGCGGATCCGAAGAACATGATAAAGAGCAGAGAGCTGCTCTACAGATTGATGATCAGGTTGTTTATAATGGTTCCTTTCGCACGCGCTCCCTTAAATCTCATTCCCCTCGCTGCTACTAGCACTCTCGCACGAGGCGCGGTCTCTTGATCCAAGCGCCCGACCTGTAATCTGCAATTGCTGCCTCGTCAGCAGATAACAAGGTCAGTTTACCGTTGAATATTTCAGTCAGCTGTTCTACGACGGTCATCAAACGCTGGCCGTGCAGCTATCCAACATGATACAGGCGGAGCCGCCGTGCCCGCCCTCGGATCGGCTGCTCCACTTGATGTTGATCGGCGCCGCCCACGAGCCGGATCGCGCCAAGAAGGACAGCAGCGCTAACTTGTCCACGTTTGCGTCCAGCTTCGACAACACCCTGGGCCCCGGACTGGACCTGGAATTCGAGACGGAGACCCAAACCCAGGCCCCAGAACCGGCACAATACGAGACGGCGTACGTCACGTCCCACAAAGGAAATTGCAGGGCTGGTGCTTTCTCGTCCGACGGCCAATTGATCGCCACCGGCTCCGTGGACGCCTCGATCAAGATCTTGGACGTGGACAGAATGCTGGCCAAGTCCGCGCCGGAAGAGATCACGCCCGGAGATCAAACCGGCGGGCATCCGGTTATAAGGACACTGTACGATCACCTGGAGGAGGTGACGTGCTTGGAGTTTCATCCCAGGGAGCCTATACTTGTGTCCGGCAGCCGGGACTTCTCCGTCAAGTTGTTCGATTTTAGCAAAGCCAGCGTGAAGAAGGCATTCAGAACCATCACGGACGCGGATCAAATTCGGTGCCTGTCCTTCCATCCAACCGGTGACTTTCTCATAGTCGGCACCAATCATCCGGTGGTTAGGCTGTACGACGTCAACACCGCGCAGTGCTTCGTGTGCAGCATCCCGAGTCACCAGCACACAGCCGGGATAACGAGCATCAAGTATTCGCCGGACGCCAAGACCTACGCGTCGGCGGGAAAAGACGGTAGCATCAAACTGTGGGACGGCGTGTCGAGTCGGTGCGTCAACACCTTCGCGAAAGCCCACGACGGCTACGAAGTATGCTCGGTGATCTTCACGAGGAACGGCAAGGTAGTAATTGTGACGGTGACGTAACATTTTCTACACGCGTCAATTACCGTTGGAGACTTGCTCTATCTCCCAAGTACTATCGGGTAATCGTGCCATTTTCGATTCCAGTATTTACTGTCCTCAGGGAAAGATTCCCTGATTAAGTTGTGGGAATTATCTACTAGCAGATGTCTAATAGCGTACACAGGCGCCGGGACTACAGGTAAAAGGGCTACACGTGCGTTTAGATATACTTGGAATACGCCTCGTTAACGTTGCGACCACGCAATTGCGAAACGTACGATTGACCGTGTCGTTTTCCACAGGTAAACAGGAGCACAAGGCGCAGGCCATCTTCAATCATACCGAGGACTACGTTATGTTTCCCGACGAAGCTACTACGTCGCTGTGCGCTTGGAATTCTCGTAACGCATCGCGAAAGCAGCTGCTGTCGTTGGGCCATAACGGTCCAGTGAGGATGATCGTGCATTCACCGACTGCTCCCGCATTTTTGACATGCAGCGACGATTTCAGGGCGAGATTCTGGTTCCGAAGGATGCCAACGCATTAACGGCTGTCGAAACCGACAGACGCGGAACTGCCCTTCTCATAATTTCGACTTTACGGACTGGAGCGCGCGGAGACCAAAAGACACTTAATGTCGGATGCATGTAGCTCTCGGTATAATTACGAGAGAAAGAAAACGAAGCGTAGGCATCGCGTAATTATACAACTTTCTATTCTACCTAGATTTTAAGCGACCGACTTTGCAGATTTTATTTTATTTGTGTTAAACCGCAATTGTATAATATATGATTCTTAGAGTAATTTCAACATTTACGTGTTTCATAATGCGCGAACGAGCGCGTAAGAAAGCTTCATCTCCATTTCAAAGCGGCGTACTTAATTCGAGAGAGCCTAAAACGATCGCCTTACAATTCCACACGTTGTCGAGCGTAAAAGAACGACGTGCGAATGTGCTGCATAGTTTTTGAACAAGGTAGGTAAGATAGGCGCAATGCGAGTTACAATTCAATTGAATGTGCGCTGAAAACGCTCCAATTATTGTAAAAAGAACGTCCGCCCGTGTTACAGCGCGACAGCAAGTGATTCTACGATATTAAAGAAAGAGAGGAAAAATATACGCAGGGATTTACATTCGACTTAATTTAATCGCACCCGATACCGCGCGATACGTAGACTCGCGTTGCTGCTTACGCATACGAGCCTCGTCCTTTTTGCATTAATAAAAGAAGAAAAAGGAGGCGCAGCGCGGAATACCGCGCGAGCCGCGAGCGAGAATCGCCGGGGTCGCGTGTGCGTCGCTACGCGCGTAGTTGGGCGCGGCGGCGCGGGGCGGCGCGCCGAACTCCCGCTCTGAGGTTTGACGAGGTGTCACGTGACCCACGCTAACCGCCATCTTTCCTTATCGTATAAACAGTGCGACCGGGCGCAGCGCGAATTCTCCCCGTGGAATCGTGGATTTCCCAGTGTTTTTGAGTGATTCGCACGCGAAGAGATGTCGGACGCCAAGACGGAGACCAAGAGCGACAACAACGTCGAGGATGCGTCCAAGGTAAGCGGGCCGGCGGGCACGTCAGAAACACCTTCGTCAAGCCGAGTTTTCATGCCGTGAGCGGCGTGTGCGAGAGCGGCGGCGGGCCCCCCTCCCCCGCGCGATCACCGCGGCCGCGGGGACGCTCGTTCGTCCTGCCGCGCGTACTCCCGGAGGTCCCGGGTCCCGCGGCCACCGTGTACTCGCGTACGCTGCGGCGCGTCGTCACGACGCGGCCGCGCCATGTGCTACTCTGCGCGTCGGCCGACGGCGACGGCGCCGACCGACCGACCGACCGACCGGCCGCCTGCCTGCCTTCCTGCCCGCCCGCCCGTCCGTCCGTCTGTCCGTCTGTCCGTCCGTCCGCCCGCCCTCCAGTCTGCCCGCCTTCCTTCTGTCGGTCGGTTCTTCCATCCGGCGAGACTTTTCGAAGCTGCGCCGTACGTATGTACGCACATCCTCTCCCGTCGTCGCCAAAGATGGTGGATGTTTTCTTATCGCGCTCGCTTCTCGCGGCCGGCGGGGAGGCCCGCCGCCTCTCCTCATCTCATGGCTCTCTGTCCGTCTCGCTCGCACGCCGTACGGCTCGGTGCCGCGCGAAAAGGCGGGAAATCGCCGCGGACCGCGGCGTCACGCCAGGAACGCGGGCGGCGGCGACGTCGCGTCCACGTCCGCGCGCGCGGACGCCACCGCCGTCGACGGCCGCCGGGTGGGAGTCGCGCGCGCGAGGCGTAGACGTTGGAGACGGTACGGGCGGACGCCAGCGGACGCACGGCAAAATGGCGGGAAACTTGAACGCGACGTTCGGCCAGCCACGGTTCAACGGTCCTCGATAATCTTATCACGCCGTAATTATCGTGCCATGTCGCGTGGTGCCGTGCGCCCGCTCCTTTTTTCCGTGCGACTCCCCCGACACACACACTCTCTCGCTCTCGAGAATAATCTCGAGACGTCAACGTGTGTGCGCGCGCGCGCGACTGCGTAACAGACGTCTCTCGCGGAGGAGTTATGGATGCGTGCGGACGCTGCGCGCGGGCGCGCGTACATGCGTGCGTGCGCTCGCGCGTGTGGGTGTGCACGCGACATAAATATGTATTGGTGCGCGAGAGAGCGAATGAATAGGAAGCCTGATTTTTGCAGGAACAGTCGACGGAGGAGAAACCGACCCCGACGAAAAACAAACGAAGCGGCAGCAAGAGGCTCTCCACTCTCGAGAGGACCGCTCAGGAGGGTGAGGCAATCTTGAAGGTGCGTCTCGCCGCGCGATTATCTAGAGCAGGAAAAAGATTTTCACGGCCGGATCTCGAACCGGCTTATCGTACGTCCCAAAAATCTTCGCCGAGGTCCCGCTGGTCAAGGTCCTTGTTTCTCTCTTTTTTTTTCTCTCTCTCTCTCTTTCCTTCTCCCCTCGTCATCGGCTATTTCCCTCCGTTTTAGCCTCTTCGTCGTTAACTTCGCTCGCTGCCTACGTGAGCGTACACGGCGTCGAGAGTGGGGGGTCGCCGATCGGCCGGGGAGGGATGGAAGCGCCCTCGGCGTGGCACGGGGAACCAATCGTTGCGTAGGCGCCAATTACAAATTGCCGTCCACATACGTGTTGTTTCGCAGTCGATACAATTAATTGGAATTAATTACAAGTTGAGCTGCGATTTAAGTAGATTTCTCTCTGTCGCCGTTGGCTTGAAATCACTCGGTGTTACAGGGCATGAACAAATCCGTCGGTGAGGTAGAAGGCAGGAGACGTACTCGCAGTTCAGCGAGGGGCCTAACTTCAACAACGCCAGTGCCATCGCCACCTAAGAAGGAGAAGAGGGAAACGTCGTCGCGGGGCGGCGGCGGCGGCGGCGGTCGCGGACGTGGACGTCCCAAGAGGCAGGAGAAGAACAATGAGAACAACACGGACGAGGAGACGTCCAATAACAAAAGCGAAAAGCACACGGAAGAGGAGTCTACGAAGATGGAGGTAGACGAGGAGAAGGAGGAGAAGGAGGAGAAGGAGAGCAAGGCGATACAGAACGAAGACAAAAACACCGAGGGCGTTGACTGTAAAGACAGTAAAGACGCTGAGAAGGTGACCGATGCCAATTCCAAGGACGAGAAGATAACGGTGGAGTCGGAGAACGTGGTGGACGAGGCTAAGAACACCGCTCCCAGTGAAGAAAAGAAGCAGGAGGACGTGAAGGACAGCTCGGACTCGAGTCAAGATGCGACAGACACAGCAGCGGAAGCGCCGCCTTTATCCTCATCGGAATCCCAAAATCCCTCCAACACTGTTACTACTGAAGAAAACAAGGAATAACCTCCCTTCGCCTGTTTTACCACTACTTTTATGTAAGTACCTCGTAATCTACGCTCGCTTTCCTTGAGAATGTGCAATTTGTAAATTTACAGCGATATTAATGTGACATTTGTTTTACTGTAGGAGGTACCAAGGCGGCGCACATATTGGGGTCACACAAATCCAGTCCCCCTCGTCTATTTTAACTAATTAACACCTTCTTGTCGATCGTTGCTTCAACCAGCGCATCAAAGTTCTACTTAAGTTTTGTCATTATCTCTATAGGTGCGCGCAACGCATGTTCCCGACGAACATAACGAAAATATCGTAGAATCCGCTGCTACGCTAGTACGAATTAGCATTTTAGAGATTGACTCATTTTTTTCTCTCTCTCTCTCTCTCTCTATGTTATATACTATTATGTCTTCGTAGAAGAAATATCATTGGTCTCTCATTAGTCTGAGATGATAACAATCTGAAGGATTATGATTCTGGGAAGATCGTATTGTAAGAAGAGATAGCTAACTCGTTAATCTAGCATTAATTTGAATCCATATGATCAGACATAACAATTTTGTTTACATTCTTTTTAACGTTTTGAAAATCTTTGTTCCCTTTTCTTCCGCATTATTGCTATCACTACGTTGGAGCATCAAACTCTGTGAAGCTAACTCAGTCAAATTAATTTTTGTTTAATCAGATTAACAAGTATCCTTTTTTTTATGGTGTTCTATGTAACATGTATAATATATTATATTATTTGAAATTTTATTCTGTTTGTCGAATAATAGAAAAATCTTGTCATTGCGCTGGTTAATTAGCGATAAGCAACGCGAGGTGTAGAGCATACGTTGTTCATGTACAATGATAATATTATTGTAAAATATATTTAATATGGACTTATATAGAGAGAAGTTGTTTTCAAATCAGAGCTGACATCCGGGTCCTATAGTATAATGCCTTCGAGTCAGATCTGATGTGGAAGTAGCTAAAGATTAATTCGTACATAGCAAATTACTGTAATACCTTTATCGTATATAAATAGTGACTGAATGAAGTGGAATATATGAGAACTATGGTGAAATGATTTCTCTTTTTCATGGATTAAGCGGAAATAAAATTTCTGAGAAACGCGTTGCAGCGTTATCTATGTTTTCCTCCCTCGCATAATAAGTGTCTACTAATAATTTTTTATCAATCTTCTAATCCTTTCCGCCGATAAACGAACTAACGCCGTCGAGTCTCTTTTGGGCGATCGAGAGAATTGTTCATCGAGTGAAAATCTTGTTCACTCCAAGTCATTATTACTTTTTATTGCGAGATCTTTCAGCGCATCCCTACTTTTATTAGTCCAATATTAAATATGTTAATATTATTGTGTATTTGAACTGTTGCGAGTGTACAGATAGATTATACAATTGATGCACTTATATCTAGAGGAAATTGCACACACACACTTTGAGACACCAATAATACGTGAATCTAATACAGTATGTTTTATTATGTAAATGTGTGCAATGATGAGAAAGGGATTCTCGTAGAAACGCGGGGATCTTGCAATGAAAATTAACTACGCGATTAAACTCGAAGGATTTCCTGGCCTTTATGCCAAATAGATTTGCCTATATACCGAATATGTAATAGCACAGAGTATAAATATATCCTTGTAAGTTGCACTCCCGAAGCATGTTTATCGAAACTGTACGTTACGAAGGAACATAGGTCTTATCATTCCATTTTCCTTTCTTTTTCTTTTTTTCGTTTTTGTCAAATCGGTGATGTTCACGAGTATGTCCACCTGAGATTTTCGATTGTAAATAGTCAAGATCAAGTGTAATATACGTGTAAATAGTTTAACATTAAGCTTCGTGTATCACACTGGACCTTTTCTTGATTACCTTGTGAAATCTCAGTTCTTAGAGTGCCTCTAGCGTTAGCACGTTGTATGATATACGAGCGTAGAATTCCGGCGATTGAAATCAAAACCAAGCCCTGTAATAGCGTGTTTACGTAAACCTTACAGCTTTTAAAGATGTATCGTAGAGATAATTTTCTTTTTCGCATGTATCTTACATGGGGGAGACTATTGTACGGTTCGATATTAGAATTTCTATGAAATATATATGCATATGTAAGAAAGTGTCCAGTTTCGTTGACGAACAATCGATTAATCACGTTTATCCATACCAAACTTTTAGTTTTTTAAACTACGATGCGCAACTTAAGAGCTTATAGTATATATATAGTTTCTGTTTATTTTGCCATGCGTGAATTCCATTCCAGTAAGCAGATTAACTATCGCGAGAATTGTATTAAGAAAAGTTTGATAATCTATGGCTTCCTCTTACCGTTAGAAGAGTTGAATAGCAATTACGAAGATTGCGCGAGATACTCTCGAAATTCTAGAAATCTCACACGACACGTTCGCGTTGGCGCGTGTATCAAGGTTACATTGGTTTATTCATCCGTTACAGTTCATGAAGATACTCGCGAAACTGCTATATAATTCCAGTCACGATTTATTAATAAAATCCTATTACGCCAATACTCTGGACTAAGCTTAATTCAAATTTTAAATTATCTTTTTAGATTTTGTCTTATTTAAAACATACGCGAAGCCAGATATTACGGTATAAGCGAGGAAAAAATATCCTAATTTAACGATAAGAATAAAATAAAGCAACAAATAAACCCGGAGGGATTGACTTTCCTGCATTATTTATTCACAAAAGGGTTAACAAAAGTTGTATAAAGGTTAATATTAAATAAAAGTGATATAAATGTGAAGAAACTTTAGTAAACTTAATATTCTTAACGGATTACAAGATTTTATGCTATATGTAATTATAGGTTGCTGTACGGTTTTTTTTCTTTTTCATGGAGGAACCGTCATTTTTTTTGTAAGAACTCTGTTGCAGTAAAATTCACTCTATCTTCGTGGATTGTGCAAACTAATGAAATGCATTAAATTAGTTTGCACAATCCACGAAGATAGTGAATTTTGTACATTTTGCTCTAACGGAGCGTTGTACTTATAGAGAACTTTGAAGTCATTGCAGTCTCGTCGACTTGTAATAAGAATCACAAGTAGTCAACAATTATATACTTTACTTCATAGTCGCTTTTTTCTTTTAGAACAGTTAAATTCTTTAATCATTAATTGTTAAGTCTTATTCTAATTTTTATTGCGGTAAATATCACATCATCTAATTAGTAAGTTAGTAAGTAGTGATAATTATACAAATTACTACAACGGAGAGATTCGGTCTTATAGCTATTCTTAGTCTTTAAAGCGTGGTCTACAATGGCAGTAGGAGTAGTGGATTAAGGCTGTAAGACGTCGGAGTAAGCTCGTGTTTCCAGTGTAGCAGGCGTAGAGTAAGGCTGTAAGCAAAATGGTTCAATTCCATTTCGTACGACCTACTCCCTTACTCTCAGCCACTGATAATCAGTTCACGAAATAGGTTAAAGTTGAAACCCTGATCTCGTTTGCGCCTGTTCACAGGCCGAACCCACCACCTCCGACCGATAGATCTTTTCGTTTGCATAATACACCATTGAAGAGTCAAGAGCTGGCTCCATAATAATATAAATAACACAAATCCAATTCTTCGCACATTCATATTCACCAACAACGGTAACATTTGTGTAATAACATTGGTTAACACTGATTAGCTCATTATAATCCTTAAAGGGACCTTAATCCTACAGCCTATGTCTAACGCCTACTTCTTTAATCCACTACTCCTACTGCCATTGTAGGCCACGCTTAACGTTGTTAACTATTAATACTTTCAAGTTTTACTGCAACAGAGATCTTACAAAAAAAATGACGGTTCCTCCATGAAAAAGAAAAAAAGAACGTACAGCAACCTATAATAATCTATAAACTATGACAGGTTATTGTCTTCAAAAGATACCTAATCTAAAGTAAACCTTTCGGGACGGTACATTGTCCGTTAAGGGCCGGTTCTGCGATCGGGGCTGGACCTGGGGGCGGAGCTACGCATTGGGGAACGTAAGGAGGTTGTAGCCCCAACGTCGGATTCCATTGCTCTTGTATAAGTGGCGACGGCGGCGGCACAGCGTGATACTGCATCGATTGCGGATACATAATTGGCTGCGAGTACATCAACGGTTGGACATTGGTTGGCGAGTGACCTGGCGGATAAGCTTCATTTGTGGAAAAGAAGTGTTGCGGATACGGCGGAGGTGCAGCTGCAATCTCAGTGGCATCGACGTTCTGAGGCGATAAATACGGTACGGGTACGTAACTATTGCTTCCTACGTAGTACGGGGGACTCCCCGAGTTGCCTTCGTTCGCGTAGTACGGTGGAAGCTCGTGATATGGAAATATCGGGCCTGTATATTGCGCCGGTGCGTAACCATTTGCCAGGCCGGCTCCCACAGGTGCTATCTGATGCGACATCGGATCCCAGTGATGCTGCTGCTGCGACTGTGGCACGTGCACGTCGTGTCTTTGCATGTCATACGGATTTATAGGACCATTCGGTGCTCCATATTGAACACTTGGATACTGCATGTATGTTGCTCCGCGAGGATTTTGCTGACGGCTTCGTATCTTATTCCCTGTGAAAGTGATTTTTAATTAAAATACATTGTTCTCCCAAATCGTCTACACAAATTTTTTGTCAAGTTGAGTTGAGCAATCAAGCGGATCTTTAGAAAAGAGAATGTATATACAACAGGAAATAGGTATATGTGTAATGAGAAAATATATTATGTATTTGATGTAGATTGAAAATCTCAAAGTTTCATCAAACGTTAAATTCGATCCAATATTTACTTACTTAAAATTCTTTCGAGACGCAATACATTATCCGGTAAGTAAAAAGAGGAAAAGATAAAAAAAACTTAGTCAAAATCATTTGCCTCGAAAAAAATTCAAGCAGCAAATTCAGAACAAGAGGATAATAGTGAAAAGGGAAAGAGGCTATGAACAGATTATTACATAAATTAAGAAAACTGTAATTGATTAAGACAATGAAAAGCAGATAAAGTTGGAAAATGAGGAGCATTTAAACTTGAAAGTAAAATAAAATTAAAGCTTACTAATCTGAACACATTAGAAACCTGTCCTGCGAGGAAACTAACAATAACATCTATCTCCCATCACAAAGTATACTAACGTCAAACCTTAACGGCAACATCAAGATAAATAAACTAGCATCTAACGACTAGTTTTCGGTCGAAGAAAACTTGGTATTCGTATGTTTTCATTAGTCTCTTCTGTACCGTCTTGTTCTTTGTACACAAGTTTGGACCAATCTTCTAAGCAAGTTTTTAATTATATCTCAATTACTTATTTTTAACGTTTATTGTTTTAACTGCCTATTCATTTGTTCATTTCACACTTTTATTAATTACTAATGTGAATATTAACGTATTTTTTTATCTTACTTTCTTAATATCTCCTGTTCTAAATTTACCCTTGCTTTGTTTCTCTAGGGGGAATACATTTCGAGCTTTAACTTTGATATCTTGGTTTCTTCTCTTTCTTAATTTTTTAACTCTACCTCACGTTATAAGAGACAATAAAAGTAAGTATTTCTTCATTTTTCAGTGTTCTGTTTTTCTTTAACTTCAAATTCACTCCCTCAAAGTATTAATATAATAAATTGTATTGTTATTACCTTTAACAGTTCCAGTTTGCCTTCCTTTCGGCTGAGTCTGATAAGAGTCATTCCCGTTCAAGTTCTTTGGTCCTTGTTTCGGTTGTCTTGCATTTCGCACATTATTGGTGTTCAAATGCGAAGCGTTAGAAATCTCAGCACTGACATCTGCTCCCTCATTGCATGCTAACGAACAATTTTGCATGTCATTAACAAGACGGTCTACATCCTCTTGTGTACATGGGACAGCTATTAAAAAATTTATTAGAATACATTTAATGATCAATCTTGTAACAAGTTTTTATTGTATAAGAAATTATTGTCCATACGAGCATTCGATGGTGCAGCCAATGATTGTACCCCTTGATGACTCGGTCCATATATCATCGGCCCGTAATAAGTTGGATTTAAAGTATGGAAAGAATCCTGTGCGAAAACGTATTAATTTAATGGTCAACGATAAATTACAATTATACTTTTCCGTTTATCACGTACCTCTAAACGCAGATGCAAATTATAAAACAAATTTGATGCAAATGGATCTAAAAAAAGGAAAAGTAAAACAAAAGAAAAAAATTAGTTGTAAAAAAATATTGTAATGTGAATGCACGACCATATTACATATAAATGAAATTTCACAATTTTGCCACAATATCGATATTATGTCATTAAATACATACGATCTATTTGATTTGCGTTGTGCTCGCCATTTATTGAGAAATTTCCTGGCATGTATGGATAATAGGGATACATGTTGTTATCCGGCGCAACATACGACACATTTGGATTGTTACACATGTTTATTCGCGCGTTACCTGCAATTAATGTAATGGCTAATCAATACAAATTCTTTTGCAAACGAAAATTAAGATTTGCGTATCCAACTGCCAGTAAATTAATTTTAAATAGGTATATGAAAAAATTTGTAAATTTTTAAAATTGTAAATAATTACCATTGTAAGGTGAACAATAAGTCTCGCTTAATACTTTTAATTTCAAGCTTGAATTCTGAAGACTGTTACCAAAGTTGTTGTATTTATCAGTCTTATATCTTGCAGTATTGTTCACCCTTTTAAATACTGCATCAGGTTTTTTGCGCCTCTCCGCTATTTCCTGTGTTACGTTACTTGACACTACGGATTGTGAATTGTCAAGTGTAGCTGTTGTAGGAAGATCATTAGCCTCCTCCTACAAACAAAAGATAAAATGTGCGAAAGGTATTTTTATAAATTTAAACATTTTCAACAATGTCACTTACATTTGTCGCACAATTAGAAAGATCTTCTATAGAATGACTCTCAGTCTGACTTTGATCTATTTCTTCACTGAAAACAAAATCAACACATTTGTAAAGAAATTAATTTTTATTACGAAACATGCGACACAATCTGCATATTTTATCTTTTACAATACAGTATGCAGATAATATATTTTTGTACATACGGAAGTTTATCGGGATGTTCGTCGAAGTCGGTTTTATTATTATTGTCGATGCTAACATTATCGACGTCATTATTACCGTCATTATTATTACTTATCAATACATTTTTGACGGTATTATTTGGTGCTTCATTTTTGATAGTTATGGCACCTTTTCTCTTTCGCGAGAAAGAATTGTATGATCTTTTCCATCGTCGACCTAATAAGATACAAAAGGTCCATTACGTGTAAATAAATAAATGCAGATAGTAATATCGCGTACTAATTCAATAAACTAACTTGAATCTGGAGCAACCGAATGGTTTTTATTAATCGGTATCCAATTCTTTTGTTGTCTATTTTTTCTTATTAAAGGTAATGGCTTCAGAGCATCGTATGGAACAAATTTTTTCTCTCCCAGATCTTTGATGAAGACTAGAACCGGCTCCTTCTCCGTGTTCATCTCCTGGATGTAACCGTGAAGCCAAAGAGGTCCCTGCTTCAATTTTTGATCAATTTTATTGTTAGTCTCGCTAGTACCACATTCCGGTAAATTAACGCGTACATTCTTGTTGTTGTTTCTATCGCATTGTTCCAGATCGTTTATACTAATCTGTATCAGACATTTGCCGCCAACTTGAAGCTCATTACTGTTGTACCTGTTCCATCCTGCAGACTTTACCTCTGCGCACACAAATTTTAATTTCAAATAAATAAGGAACAAAATTTTAATTTTATTTTTACGCGAAAAGAAAAATTCCTATACCTCGTTTCAATTCATGCCATATATCTAACTCTATATTGCGATAATAATCGGGAGACAGCGCTTTTGCAACTTTATAAGGAATAGGTGGCGCTCCCTTCCAACCTGTCTGCACGTCGTCCGTGTCACTACGTTCAGTTTTTACCTTTTTGTATAAATCTTCAATCAATTGCCTGTAAAAATAGACCTCATTTTTTAGAATCGATACTTTTCAATAATTAAAAACTTTATGTCCAAATTGTAATTTTGATCGGCAATAAACGTGGCACGTATTGAGACTGTTAAATAACTTACTCCCTAATGTCGAGATTTCCCTTCTGGAAAAATTTGTCATGTCTAAGTGTGGGAGTTCGATCGTGCAGCATTCTATCCGCAACAGTCTTTATGTTAGGTATTTGATACATATACCTATATACAACTTCATAAACGATAGCTACAAAAAAACAACGAAAGAGAAAAAATTATGAAAAATTTTTAACAAGTCCACAGATGTGATTAATAATTAAAAAAAAATATGTACATTGGCAGTACGCGGCCGATTGTACAAAAGCCATCGGATAAACGGGCTCGTATTGCTTCGGCTCTGTCTGACAAAGCAGCATTACGCCTTTCTTAAAGCCATTATTGGTAACGTTTTCGCACATCTGCTTCTCTCCAACGAACATGATTATGTCTCTCTTGTACAGTAGAGACATGGCGAGAATCTCGTTCAAGCCACCCCACTCCGTGAAACACTGCATCTCTTTAATATAGTAATCAAACGACACGGGCACAGACTACGGGGAAAGAGAGACGAAAAAAGGTGAGAGCTAATCCTCCTGGTGTGCGAAAAGGCGCAGTCGTACAAATACTTACGTCCACGAACAAGTGTTTATTTTTCTTCATAAACTCCGTGCATTCTTTTCTTACCCGTAGATGATAGTGTTGCGTATGGTACACTTGTTCGCTGATCGCCCTGAACAAGCAGGTAGGATCTCTGGGAGTAGCTTTCCTAAAGTAACCCTCCTTCGCCAGCCATTGGTCCACTGGCTCCTGCGTCCGTCTCGACATCTCTATCGAAATTCAATATTACGCATCAACTAAAGGTGCATCTAGCTGACAAAGGCGTTCTCGTCTTTTTACAGGATCGTCTCCTCATTACCCCTTTCGATATTGTGTTTCCGCTATGTCAGATATTAGAAAATATTCTCTTTCATTCGCCTACTTTATCCTGTTCAGAACAGAGTTCAAATAGCTACCTCTTCTTATTTTCTACAAAAGAGAAAGGAAAATGAATTGTGACAAACATCACTGGAATATAATGGCACTAGCTGAGCCTTTCTATTCATATTTCAGCGATAAACTATAGACTAATTCGTTTACTAACAATGTTAATGAAACATGATACTAGCGGTGTCTAAGAATGTTGCTAAATAGCAAGAATTTATAACCTTGTACAGTTTATTGAAACGATAAATCTGTGATGTATAAAATTTGGACGCGGAATTCCTGAACAAGATACGCATCAATAATCGAGTACACATTACAAGAAATCGTATGCCGTAAAACAAAAGTGTACTAAATCATGTAAAACCAAAACGGACCTTCCGTATTCTAGAAAACACCGTTTGGTACGAGTGAATGTAACAAGAAAAAACCCAACAAAAAAAATCCTTGTTTCCAAGAGTCGGACTCGAATGCGCAAGATACGCGAGAAATTGATCTCTACTTATATCCGCGGGGGAGAAATTTGATAAACGTAATCGGACGCGAGTCGCAACGAGACGAAGCGCAATCACGGACGACAACGGCGGAAGACGCGACAGGTAGCCGGACACCGAGCAAGGGCAGATCGTTGACGATCGAGGCGATATTGCGTAGGGCGGATCGACCTTGGCGAGATCCAAGGACAACCTCCGCCATCGTAAAAGAACCGATCTCGAGTCACGAAGGAAAAGGAGGAGAAAATGCACCGATCTCGTGGAGTGTCTCGGTAGACCGGACTTTCTCGCGCCAGCCAGAGGAAAGCTCTCGCGTGAGGAAGAAAATGTTCACCTTGCTGTTCTCCACCCGCTCCCTCGACAAAACGGCACCACGAGCCTCGCAAGACGACGGCCATTCGCCTTTGTTCGAAACGCAGTCGGCGTAATGCGTCACATCTTTCGGTACCTTCCCCTCTTCCTGCCCCCCCAACCCCCTGGCGATGATTTGTCACGGGGTTCACCAATCGCTACCTGTTACGCGAATCGCGCGCGCAGGTTCATACGGACGACAATCGGATTCCGCTTACGTTAGACAAATTTATGGCCACTTGTTCCTTGTCGAAGGACTCGGCCAATAGATTCGAAAAAGAATTCCATTTGCGCAGCGAAATTTACTCGCGGCGCGGTAGATTACGCGGCGAATCGAGATAATCGCGAGGCGTAATGAGGATGCCCGGTATCATACTTACTGTGCGTGCGGCGATATTGTTTTACGCAACGCCGTGGAAATACCGTCGTCGAATTTGAGCGCCGAACGTCGCGAAAGGAACGTCCCCTCCCGTTGAAATCGACAACCCGGGTCAGGATGGTCGAACGACTAGTGGATGACGTTGCCAACGTGGGACCGCGAGGTAACGTTGGTCAACGTGCAATACGTGGCGACACGATTGGCTGCCGTTTCTAACCAATCACGTAACGGTCTGATCCAAGTGCGTTAAGTCCGTATCACACACTACGTATTACCGGATCGGATTGAGATCGCGGATCGCAATTCGACCAATCGGGTCCGAGGCTGTCTCGTACGATTGGCTGAAATGTGATCCGCGATCCGCAATCTCAATCCGATCCGCAATACGTACTGCGACACGGGCTTTTTTTAATCTTTGCTCGACATATAGTGAGTAACGAAGATTGACTGATTTTTTTCAACGCTAATAGCGTCTCCCCGAACGCAGCCCCAAAGAGGTCCATTCTGTATCTTGCAATATAGTGAAAATGCTAAAAGCGAGTGGCTCTGTCTCTTTTTAAGGAGACGGTTAGAAAGAGACAAAGCTATTCACTTTTAGCATTTTCACTACAGTGTAAGATACAAAATTGACCCCAAGGACTCGAGTCTTGAATTCGTTCGAAAGAGAGACGTATGCGAAAATTCTGCCCTCACGGAAAAGTTGAGAGTCAATTGATTAAAGAACCATGCGAATAGCTAAAATCGACTTGCAACTTTTCTGTAAGAGCAGAATTTTCGCATACGTTTCTCCTCCGATTAATTAAAAGCGGAGAGCACACACTTTTGCATAAGTGCATTAGCATATATGCATAACGAATTTGATTGGTCTATAAGCAAAAGTACAAGGAAATGGACCAATCAAATTCGGTAAGATGGACGCCTTCTCTTATCTAGCCAGTATGTCTATTTAGCAACATTGATCTAATATTGCATCAATATTAAAGCCCGCTGCAGACGATGCTATTTTTCCTGCTGGATTGCTTGCAATTTAGTAAATTACTAGGAATCCTGAATGCTGAGTGGTGCAACGATAGTAATTTACTAAATCGCAAGCAATCCAGCAGGAAAAATAGCATCGTCTGCAGCGGGCTTTAAGCCCGCTGCAGACGATGCTATTTTTCCTGCTGGATTGCTTGCAATTTAGTAAATTACTAGGAATCCTGAATGCTGAGTGGTGCAATGATAGTAATTTACTAAATCGCAAGCAATCCAGCAGGAAAAATAGCATCGTCTGCAGCGGGCTTTAGACCAATGTTGTTATTACATGGTTAAATATTGGCCGATGCATTTCTAATATAACCAACATTGGACCAATATTTAGCCAATGCACTGTGCAACTAGGGTATAAACGCAATATTATGATATGATTTACAAAATCTACAAGAAATAAAAATGGATTAGTCTTCCCAATCTTTTTATAAAATCTTTTATAGTTAAATTGACTGATTATTTTGCCTATTTTGTTGTATTAAGCCATTTGCTCATTAAAAGCTCGATTTTGCGAATTATCGCACATGAGATTGCTAATTGTTGTAAAAGACTAACAGAAAATTATTATAATCCTACTAATTATAATAACATATCTTGCATTTAACGTTAAATTTAGCAGCTAATCTTCAGTTTTTAAGATATCGTTTATACATAACAAGTAAAAATACAAAAATACATAAATTTACTGCCAAATGCAATGTACAAAAATTTCTTTGACGCTAACGAGATTTAATTAGGGCCAAAGAAAGCAGACGCCGCCGTTTTACAAATTACTTTTTTTTTATTCTTCGTAATAATTTCGTCGAAATGACAATGCGATGTATACGAAATATTAAAAAAGTACAATAGCCCGTTTATACAAAATATGATTTTTACAATACATAAATATAAGATCGACCACTGTGTGCATACTTCCGCGATGTCTGCTGTAACGCATGAAATGCAATATCACCGACAATTTTGCCTGCTTTATCGAAAATAACGAATATACTCGCGCGTGCAGTTTTCTCGATGTAAAAAAACTACATCCTCCGGCGAGATGACGATCCCGTGCAGTGTTTCGCGAACTGTTAAGTTGGACCCTCGTCCCTGTCTCATAAAACGAATTTCTAACTTGCCACATTTACTAATATTTCTCTTGCCACACACACATACACACACACACACACATACAAGTCTTTCTCTCTCTAGATAGTCATATCTATACGACTGTTTGAAAAATGTAACGTTTGTCGCGTGTTGAGCAACAAAATGAGTAGATGTAGCGAGAGAGCAAGTTAAGAAAAACTGCGAGACAAGAGCTATATTTTCTGTTCTCATTCTTGTCATTGCCTAATTGTTGCCGAATTGACTCTCGAGGCGGCCTGGTACCGACGTAGAACAACCAGCAGCGGTATCGTCATCGACTACCTGATTCAAACGTTGGACTTTTTCGATCAAGAGTCTTCCGATCTCGCCAAAAGGAGAACGCCGGTAAAACGGCGATTATAGGATAAGTATAATCATAGCATTACGACTAACACAGTGCTTCGCATTCGCGCTTTTTTTCCTTGGCAATGTATGAATAATTGTTATAAAATGTCACGGATATAGAAAATGGAAGAAGCGACGAGCCACGCCGTCCTCGTTCCTTTCCTTCGTTTTCGTGTGGCAGCTTCTTTAAGCGGCTATCTTCTCGGCGTCGATCGCTGAAACAACGTTGCCTCGGTAAACGATGTGTCATCTCAAATAGATACAAAAGCATAAATTGAAAATACGAACCTTCTTTGGTGGGCAGAGGATTTTTCTCGAGGGTCTCCGCATGCTTCAGCTTCGCTGGATCGAAATTCTCGATACCGGAGATCAGCTGTTGCTTCCCCTTTTCTTGCTGGATCGCTGCACGAAGAATATCTCATTAGTTTACAATGCTTATTGTTTCTAAGATGTTATTTGTACTGTTTGTTATTCCACAATACATATATGACTTTTTATGAATAGCAAAAGACAATAGAACGGAACGGAAAAATTGTACAATTTTATAAGCTACAAGAAATACATACTCTAACGTGTTAAGCACAAATTTGAAGGAATAAGAAGACTAAGAGCCGTGACAGAGCGTTAGTGTCTAAATGATTTTATTATAAACTTATTGAGGAAAATATTACACACATCTAGCCAAGATAATATTTTATAAGATAAATTTTCACTCTCTTTTAATTTACCGGTACTTCACAAAGTTGGACTATTCTGTACATAAGTCAATTTAAAAGCCTGACTTATATATATCGTACCATCTTTATCGGGTAACGGGTTCTTCTCCTGCGTCTCGGTGTGCTTCAGACTTGCGGTGTCAAACTTCTCAATACCAGCGATCAATGTTTGCTGAGTCTTCTCCGCGGCGACGTCTAAAAGCAAAACATGTTTCAGAAATAGCAATGGATAATTACATGCAAGCAGAATTGCGACTCAGGAATAAAGAGTCTCATTGAGCTGGCTATAAATTTGCCATATCCAGCTAGCACGAACGGATCGGTGAAGAATAAATTTGAAAACTGTTTGCACGATTTATGATCGCAGCACGATCGACGGACGGCGCGATCAATCAATGATTGGTATCGTTTGTCGTCCTTCCTTTATAAGGCACTTGCTATTAATCTCTCGTGCGTTCAGATAAAGTCTGTGTAATTCTACGATTTCGTTATTTTCACCCACATTAAAAATTTAAGTCGTGAGAAGTGACTTGTGTTTTGAATAATTTATAACTCGACTTTTCAATTGAGAAAGTATCGATTTAAGATTGCATTAAGAAATCCATACATAATGAAAAGAGGCGAATATAAAAGTTATTTCTTAAAATCTGTTCTAAATTTTATGTTATAAAATTGCGCAGCAAGAAGTTAACGAAAAGGACAAGCAATGAGATCCCGAAATGTCATCAAAGCCACCAGTAAAGTTTTCCTTCATTGACGAATTATTCTATTGCAAGGTAAAGCTTCGCAGGTGAGAAATTATTCCCTGAAAAAGCGAAAGCGATAGTCGATTTCGGATTTTTGCTGCCACCGTGATAAAGCCAAGAAGATACTCGTCGCAGAGCTGGAGAAGGAAGTCCCAGAAATCTCTCTGATCTTTGCTGAGCAATACCTTTGGCGTTAGGCAACACAATCTTCTCTTTCGTGTCGGCGTGCTTCAACTGATCTGTCTTAAAGGTTTCCACGCCATGTATCAACTCAGAGTGCTGCCGCTCCTGCCGCACGTCTATGTCAGCAATTCATACATTTTTATTGCAACTGCTATCATTTTTATTGGCACACTGGTGAGCTTTGCGCGTAAATCGCTTCCCTTAATTAATTTTATTATTTTCAACATTTTACGAGCGAATTTAATATTCTTTTTACATCCTGCATTTAATACTAAACACATCTAGTTTTACTTGGTTAAACATTGATAAATATATCATACAAAATTCTTAAATTAGAATAAAAAATCTCAAAAGTACATAACGCTAATCAAATATATTAATGAAATTAATAGAGTGCAAAATATAATTGTTAAATTTCAAATGTCATGAATAAAACATACAATGAGATAATTCGGTTTAATGTGAATTAGCTTTGAACAAAGAATTGAGGATATCTTGCAAATTACGTACCTTCGGCGGAAGGTAAAACGTTCTTCTCGGCAGTTGCGGCTTTCTTCATACAGCCATGGTTGAAACCTTCCAATTCGCTTTTCAGGTCTAGAGCTACTTTGGGCAGGTCCTTCAACGACGGACTCGACATGATTCAGCCTCGTACTTCTTGATCTGTAAAAAAAGGAATAAAGAATGTGAGATCAATCATCTTTACTCATCGATAGACACATTTTTTTTAAATCAAAGTTTGTAATTCCAACTTTTCTAACGTCCAAACGGCATCTTAGTGATCGAGCATTCGAGCCTATGATAGTCAAGTATGTATTGTATTTTACATATATGTGCAATGAACGATAATTTTAATACTTGAGGATTCTTGAAGGTTTTGAGATTATCGACCGTTAAAAATTATTAATATATAAACAATCGTTATAATCTGAAGTACGTTGTTAATTGGTAGCAATACATATCTCGAATGAGTGATCGTTTTCTTTTTCTTTTGAAGTATGTAAATACAGTAACAGAGCAAAACACAGAAAATAATACAAAACTTTTCTAATCTAAAGTGACGGTTTTTTTCAGTTTTCGTTGAAGCGTTCGACGAACGGTACATGCACGTCTTTATGTATGATAATAATGTAAAAGGTGTCCGTGCAAGGTGTACGAGCACCTGCTCGTAACGTAATCGATTTAACTTCCTGGAAGATAGCGGAACACGGGCGATATCGCACGTGTTATTAAACGCGAGAACCATTTCCACGTAAGGTGCACAAAGAGCATTGCCCAACAAATACGAGTGTATCAGCGGAGACGGCACCGCGCAGTTTCCAATTGTTCGCGCGAACGTGTCGTTTCCTTTGTTAAACCGCACCAACAATCTGCGCGCTGACAACAGCGGCTGCTATTGAATGCCAACGAAGCTGAAGCCGGGAATGAAGCTATCGACAACGATGTTGGAATTGTATGTACGTCGTATCGTCACGATACACTGCAAATACAGCAAAAATGCGACAAAACTTTACTCGCCGATATATTCGCTGAATGAGACTTCGCAGACTCGACACTTTTGGAGTTTTTCTTTCCTCAAATTCAGAAGCTTCCGCGCAAAATATGATACAGCCTATCTTCTGCAATTCTTTTTAGTTATTTATAACAATAAAAACATTCTGTGTTAACTCTGAGAAAATTTCATAAAATAAAATTGAGATCGTTACGTTATAAATTGAGGGGGAAAAAAAAAAGAAGTTGTAGGTTTTAGAAAATTATTACACGAGAAATGTGATTTATCTGCGAGCTCACGCGACTCTCAGCCGGCAAATTTATGTATCACGCGACGGAAACAGCGGTGGCTTCCGGTCTCCGTTTCCTTCTAGTACGTTTCCTTGTCACACTTGCCTCGCGAGCACAACTTCGTCGTGAAATATATCACCGACGCTAAAGCTATTATCACAGTAAAAGAAATACTTGTCCAAATAATACGTAAACATTAGAGATGTATGGAGATTAAATGGCTATCTTACAATTGCAGATAGTAACGTGATCATTGAGATAACAAAACCTGACAATTGCCGTATTCGCGGTCGAATATCCCTAATTTTTTACTTCGCGCGTCGCGTTGAAAGATATTACGCCACAGCTGGTTTCATTCGCATCCGTCATTCGTTATTTATAATGATAACGACATTACATGACCAAGAAGAACTCTGATAAATACTCCGACGTTCTTTCGCCTCCTTTTTTCCTCCAAAGAACACTATATCTTCGCGACCATACGTTACAATGCAAAGTTAAATTACAGCTGCGCATACAAATTATCATGGACAGATGTGTCGCAATATTCGCGACGAAGAAATTAAACAAGTCTTTTCTTTTTAAGACGAGATCACTCTCAAAAGTGTCTCTAAAAATTATTCTTTTAAAACGGCAAACGGTACTTTCGGTGGAAAGAAAACGGCAACCATCGAGTCAGACGTTGCTCCTCTAATCATTGATAGTTACGGCACGAAATCAACATCGCAGCGTCGCTGGATGTGTACACGCGCCTCTATCAACACACATACATCTTATATTATCAAATCCAATACTGGCGACGCATTTACGCGTTAAACTGTCAATGACTCACTCGTCGGATGCCCCCTTTGCCCACCCCCTTTCGCCAAACGGGCTTCTCAGCAGCGTTCGCGATTGTGCGCATTCAGGCAGGTTTAAAACTTTACGTGACTCAACGCGAAAAAATGTAAGAAAAGAACGCAATACTAATTACGCCTGTGTGGGCGATCGGTATCGATCTGCATTTAACTCCTACGTGCGCCTTTTTTTTCTGATCGCGTTGCGTTCTGCAATTTATGGCGAAATGGATCTTTTTCCTTGCGCATCTATATTGCGCGCGGTTTCTTGCGCATCTGGAAACAGATTAGATTAATATCCCGGTATATTCAATATATTATCTCATAGTAAATAATGTTAGTTGCGTCGTTCACACGCGAAAGAAAATCTACTACCTGCGTTAATTAAAATACTGCATGTATTTTTTTGATCGTCGAGCTTACAGCATGTTATCTGTACCGTAGAGAACTCGTTGAAGAGCCAATAGCGACAACGTCGAATTGGAGCCCATATGCGAATAAACTTGCGGCATCAAAGGAGACGCGGAGAGTAAGAAAAGGTCTGCATTCCACGTGGGTGAAGTCACGGGGACGTCGGATATTACTAACCGCATTATCGGTACACACGGCGTGAATTGTGCAACATCGTCGACGACGTGGTGCAAGGTCATCAATTTTGCGCGACCTTTTTTTTCTACGACGCTTTCCGAACGGCAATTCCGGGCGGAACGATCCTTCAAAACGAACGGCTGAAAAAGATAAGCGGACATATTGCGCGGCGATAAAGCCACCTGAGGCATTTGAATCTCCAATAGCGGCCTATTTTCTCGGAGCCGCGATATTTCAGGCTCGATCGCAATAGAACGCCGGGCGTGTAAAAGTACAGAAAACGCTGATAAAAAGAGGCGAACCGGTCTCTCGAGCGGTCTCGTCGAGCCTGAGTTTTCGGTCCGGGACGATACGTTCCTGGGATCGCGAGAGAGGCTTTCGAGAGATACGTTCAAACGGTGGGTCAGCATCGACAAGGCTGCGTATAGGTCCTTATATGGTAGCCGGTCGTATATGCCTGTATATAGGGAGAGCTCGAAAAAGAGGCCGAATACGCAACGGAGGAGCAGCGGGAACTCACACATATCCTTTGCGTATCCGCTTCACTAAATGTTTCTCCAGTTCTCTTTCTTTTTTTCATTCTTTTCGTGCGCCCGTGTGGGCGTACGAGGCGTTTGTACGTGTGCGCACGGGAACGAGACTCGTATATGCCTGGCTGGACGTAACGGTAAGAGACGAGGACGAGATCTCGATTGTCCGCAGCCACGACGGAGCACAGATAAAACAGTAATTCGCTTCTTACGCGGCGAATCGTGACAACGGCACGTCCCGTGAATCTGTCGCGCGCAAAAAAGAAATGAGTCACTAACTTGGACGAAAATAAATAAGACCGCGGAGCATCTTTCGCTCGTTAACGCGAATAAAAATACATCTATTCTCGTTCCTTGGACGCGGAATAATCTACCCGGAGTTGGCCACGTTCTACATTAATACCCCAGCAGCACGATACATTGGCTAACTATTGGTCCAATGTTTGGCCGACATTATCCGACGTAAAGCCAATATTGACCATGGAATTAGAGACCCTGTAAAAACATAAGCTATCTCGCTCGCAGGAATTTGACCAACTCTCTTGTGGCCAGTCTCTGATTACAGGGTCTCTAGATGGAATAAATGTAAATATTGCACGATAACAATTATGTAACATTAGATTTATATTGGAAGTGCGTTGGCCAATATTTAACAATGTAATAACAATATTGGTCCAATATTGATGCAATGTTAGACTTATTTGCTAAATAAGAGGAGTCATTCTCACTATATTGGACCAATATTGGGAATACTAGATTTACATTATTTCCTAACATTGCGTCAATACATTGTGCTACTGGGGTACCGCCGCGAGATGAATAACTTTTAATGGACGACTCAATATCGTTCCTTAATAAAATACCTTCGCCACGCGTGACTAATAAGGTTTGATTGCGAGTGTATCGCTTGCGTTCGTCGCGCATTTAAGATCGGCAGAAAAGTTACGAACACTTTAAGGCCGACAAAAAGCGCCGCAACACAGCCGACCGTTAGTTCCATTTAATTGAACATCCGTAGATCCTAGCCGAGCCGTGGCAAACAACCAGACGGGATAAGCTTCTTATTGGTTATTATGCAAACTGCAAACGGTGGAATTTAATGAGGCGAGCCGACGCGAGACGCCGTTCGCTTCGCACAGCGAAACTTGGATAAACCTCGGCTCGGTCTTCTCGAGCGGGCTCGAGCGAGGTGGAAAGCGAGCCTCCGCGAGAGGCGAACGAGGAAACTAGGTTGCCAGCGCGGTCGAGATGCGCTGGCAGAAACTGATGGTAGAGTCATCGAGATAGATTAGGAGGCATCCAGGCTGATATTTCATACGAGTGTCGTAAGTGCGCCTGAGGCGCGATTTCTAGTGCTTCATTTTCAAACGAGGAAAGTATGGCTCTAGGTCGTGCATCCCCATTAATGCGCCTGGCCTGCAAACATTTTTCAAACGTTAGAAAACTGCCGTCTAATAGGCTGCGTCTGTTCACGCTTCGGAAACTCTTATAATTTAGTTTAAGCGTATCGAGAAGCCATCGTTCGCGTTACACGGCTTACCTCGCAACGAGTTTGAGACTTGATATCTCGGACTCTGTAGGAAAGCGATAGCAGGTGGCTTCGTTGTCGCGATCGGCCCCGGACTCAGCCGACGCGACGCAAATCGAGAAAGACCCGGTTGGAATCGGCCGTCAGGAGCGTCAGGACTCCACGGCGACGACGCATTGTCGCAGGCTCGATTCGCAGAATGAGATCCTACGGTCGCTGGCTAACGAGTTCGCGCCGGCTGCCAATTAACTTGGGCAATCGCGTTTAATGGCTGGGACCTCCGCTACCGGCTCTCTCCCTCCTCGTCTCTACCGCGCCACGCGTCCACACGTGCAACAGCGTGCACGGGCCTGTATCGATCGGCGGCGTGGGCTCCGGAGAGCGGCGAACACCCACGCGCGTACAATGCCCACGTGAAAACGCCGCGCCGGCTGCATTTGTATTCGTGGCTAGAGAAACGCTTTACCGAGCGACGGCGACCGTCGAGCGACCACGATTCTCTTTCTCTCCCCCTTCTCTCTCGCTCTTTTTCTCTTTCCAGCTCTCTTCCGTGCGACCGTGACGGCTAACGAACCCTGGACGCGCGTATCGTATCGAGCGGTGGCGCGTATATGCCAGGGACGTATGTAGGCAAGAGTATTAGACAATCATCGTCCGAATCGAGCGGACGTCCCGACGTCGAGTGCTCCGGCACGACCAAGGTGCTTTCCGAGTCACGAGCGGCTGAAAGACGGACAGGGGACACCGGTCATCCAGGCTGAAACACTCGCAGGAAGATGGAAAAACCGTGTTAGAGCCAGCCACTCACGTGAAATACCTCAGCTCAATGGGTTCCTCGTTTCCCACCAAGACGCGGATTCTCAATCAGAGTCTCAAATCGAGCGCCCTGGCAACGTAAACGAGAGACGCGCATCGTGTCCGAGAGGCGCGAGGCATCGACATCTTCTGGGAGATCATTTTTCAACTTGAAAAGACTTCATTTCTCATGATTCTAGACTCTGAAAACGCCAAAAATATCGTTTCTTTGCGACACATTTCAATTGAAAAAAGAAGCTAAACGCACCCACGAGCCAACGGCCGCGTTCAACAGGAAAAGCTGCTTTGCAACCATTTGCAACTGTTGTCAAATTCGTAACGCGGAGTCTACAATGGCCGCATTCAGCGAAGAAAGTTGCTCAGTAAGCGCTTTAAGATGATTGGGTTATACTTTTAGATCTGCGCTGTGATAGAACTATTCTTCTAGATTTTTAAAGAATAATCCAATCAGCGCAAGTTTTCTCTGCTGAACGCGGACCAATGCGAGTCGCGGTCTTAAGAATAATCGACTGCGATTGGTCCGAGTTCCGTAGGAGTAGACCAATAAATTTGATTGAAGTATGCACTCGGATTCCGCCATTATTGAGAGTATACGCCAATCAGATTCAAGAGTTTTAAGGCCACGTTGTT